ATAGTAATGACATGTTTAGTATTCATCTTTGACTTTTTTTGTTTAACCCTTTCATTATGTGATAGTGACATTTTTGGTATTTTTAATATAAAAAAAAATCAACACAAAATCTTTCGACTTCTCTACAGTGACGCTAATAATACTTCCACTCATTTTATCAATATAAGTAATAACTAATAACCTGAAAACACGATTGAATGTCCAAAACGTTTCTTTTATAATAGTGAGAAGACAAAAATGAAAATCAACGATCATAGGTGAGTGAGTCTCTCTCACAATATTGGAAAGATCAAAAGTAGGGGTGGACCGGTTCCGGTTTGGGCCCGGTTCGGGCCTGGGCCCGGCCGGGCCTCGGTTCAGAAAAATGAGGCCCGAACCCGAACCCACTGGCGGAGGGAGGGGAGGGCCATACTGGGCCCTGGCCCAGGGTAAGATTGGGGTAAAACAGTGTTTGCATTTGCTTTAAAAAAGCACTTTTCAGCTTTTGGCTGAAAAAAAGCTAAAAAGAGTGTTTTCAAATGACAACTTCTGCTTAAATTAATCACTTAAAAGCTAAAAGCTGGAAGCAGGTGGAAGGGTGCTTTAAACTGCTTTTCACTTTTTCTATTACACAAAAAGTACTTATTTTACCAAACATTACCAACTTTTACTTTTTCAGAATCACTTTTTTCTCAAACACTACCAACTTTTACTATTAATCACTTTAAAAAATCACTTTTTTAAAGTTGAAGCAATTGCAAACACTCCCTAATACAGTTAGGGTATATAAATAAATAAAAAGTAGAAGAGGGTCAGTGGTATTAAAAAAAAAATCGGCCCAGTGTCCCCGTGCATTGTTGCCTCTCCCGTGATCGGAAAAGGGGATGTGCCGAAGTAGACTGTGCCGGTGCAAAGGAAAGAAAGGAAGAAAATAATTAAAACATAAATTTTAAAATTGACGCTTGGGCCATATATATAATCCTTAGTCAACCAATCAAACATTGACGAATGTTTTTAAAATTAAAATTGACCCTTAGGCCTTTCCTTAGTCAAACAACCAAACGCATTAATGAATTAAGGCTAGATAACTCTAATATACTAATTATGAAATCTATTTTTAATCTATTCCTTCCTAATTTGTTAGAGTTCATATTATTTTGTGTGTAATATATTGTCAATTTCTAACCATAATTTATAATTTATATGGAGTACATTATACAGAGTATGTGATCGGTTTATACTCCGTAATTGTTAGCTACAACATTATTCTTGTCTTACTAAAATGTTATTTCATTTAATTTCAATTAAATAATATGTAATGTCTTTTGTAAAATATTTCAATTTGGTAGAAGAGATTATAGGCACTCAACAGCCTCATTCAAAGAAAGTTAAAGCAACTTTGCATTCTTTTTTAGATCGACTACTACCGCTAGTAGTGTACAAAGAGAAGGTACTAGTATGCACCAAATTGACCATAGTATTTCTAATGTTGTAAATCATTCATCTTCTAATCTGGTTGAAATTGAAAGAGATCAGGAAAAAAAAGAAATATCTGATTGACCTTTAGACAAAAGGAATGAAGTGAGACGACTATATTTAATAGGGAAAATGGAAAATAATAATCCAACTTTTTAGCGGTCTTCTTTCAATAATCCCACCTTTTGATTATTCATGAATAATCCAAGCTTTGCACCTCATCTTCATTCATTGATCCCTGGTCAGTTAATGACCTACTATTCCAAGTTATTTTCTTATCTTTGTAAAATATTATATTTGTGAAAGATGAGATTTATGGTATAATGATTTGAAAAGATAAGAAAATAGCTTGGAATAGCAGGTCATCAACTGGTCGGGGACCAGTGAATGAAGATGAGGTGCAAAGGTTGGATTATTCATGAATAACCAAAAGGTTGGATTATTGTAAGAAAACCGCTAAAAGGTTGGATTATTAGTTTCCTATTTAATATCGTCCTTACCAACTAAAACTTGAGTTGTATAAAAGTCGAGTTTAATTGGTTAAAGCACTCTTTCTGGATACGGCCCAGCCTTCTTTGATGTGCTGGCTCCGCCCCTGCCCGAACCGGTGGTGGGCGGTTCCGGGTCCAGTTCCGGGCCGGGCCGAGCCAGGCCACCCGGATTTATAATTTTTTTTTCTTCTTCTCTTATTTAACCCCCTACCCCTCCCCCTCCACCCCAAACCACCCCAAACCACCTCAAATGGCCTCAAATGGCCCAAAATTTCAAAAAAAAAAAAATTAAATTTCGGGCTGAACCGGGCCCGGCCCGGCCGGGCCGGTTCACTAAAATGGAGGCCCGGGCCCGGACCGCTATACCACCGGGCCGGGTGGACCGAAACGGGCACAAACCGGTTCACCGGGCCGGTCCGGGCCCGCACAGTAGCGGGCCGGTCCGGTTCCGGGCCGGTTGGCCCGGCCCGAGTCCATCCATAATAAAAAGTGGAAAAAAAAAAATACGGAGTATTGAATATCAATACTGTCCACACAATAATCGGAGGATCAAAAATAGACAAAAAGTAAAAATCAATCTCAACATTTAAGCGTTCCAAAATAAAGTTTTGTTTTATTCTTGTTAAAGTCAACATTTTGCCGACTGTATTTACACCTTAAAAGTATTTACATATTTAATTTAGTACTAATAAGGACACTTACCTCAGCCCCCCCTCCCCCCTCCCCCAACCCCCTTCCTATGCCCCTGAGGTGAAAAAAAATCAAAAACTAATAAGGACACTTTTATTTGGATTTAAATGTGTTACTCTTCTGAGTTGGACTCATACATTTGCTATATCATGCCACTATGGTATAAGTAAATAAATGACTTTTATATATGTAAAATTTAGTATATTGTATTCCAAGTAGTTTAAGTAGTCCAAGTGTATTGTTACGAAATGGTTTATATGTTACAGAGTATATAACCACTTTAATTTTGTGTAAGCACGAAATGGTATATTTCAAGTGGTATAAACGACTTTTATGTATATAAAATTTAGCATGCTCCATTCCAAGTAGTTCAAGTAGCACAGGTATATTGTATTTTAAGTAGTTTTTTTGGGGAAGTATTTTAAGTAGTTACAAAAACTTAATTTATACAACATATTCATAAATTCTTAGTAGTTAGAGTAATACCAAATTTTTCACACGCCAAATTTGATAAAGTTAAGATTTTATTTTGTTTTTTATAATCCAATATCATTTTTAATAACCACAACACTTCTTCATATATCAAAGTTAGTGATATGAAGTTGAGGTAGACAGGTAGTTCTATGGTTTTTAGCTATGAAGCACGGATACTTCCCTAGGGTAGCGTATCGGCGTATCCGATACGTTCCCGTATCCGATACTCTAGGATACCCGTACCGTACGTTCCCGGGCCGTATCTGCAATTTTTAAAAGTTTTCATTTTCTTTTTGTAATCTTTTGAAAGTTTCCGATACTTGTATCCTAACGGATACCCGTATCAACTTTTTTTTAAAAAAAATCCCAAAATTTACTTAATAAAATTCTAAAAAAAAATGAAAATCTAAAACTACATTTTACTTGGTAATCAAATAATGGGCCTATGTGGCTATATCTGAATTAAGTCATTAACTCATACTCCGAATTGGGTACTTGCACTTTTAATTTCAAGATTGTAGTTGTTTGATTTATTTCTCATTTTAAATTAATGACTTATTGACTACATTTATATTTCGAGATACATTAGTGTATATGAGAAATATTATGAATTTATTACTAAGTATCTTGAAAAAAGAAAATGTTTTAATGCAATGAATGGGTAGACATCATAGGATATTATATGTATGTATGTATGTATGTATGCATATTCAAAAAAAATCTATTTTTAGTATTTATAAATAGACCCCTATAACTTTTAATATTTGTAAATACACCCCCATAACTTTTAATATTTATAAATATGGCCCCGTATCCGTATCCTACTTTTTTTGGTTTTGACGTATCCCCGTACCCGTTTCCGCGTACCGGTATCGGTGCTACATAGGTTTTTAGTCATGGACTCGGGTCCGGGTCGGGAATAGGCCCGGCCGGGCTTTTGCTTTTTGGTTGAAGGCCCGGGACCGCCCGGGTTACCCCTTGGGTCGGGCCGAGTCCATGTTTTTTTTTTTTTTCTTTTCTTCTTAACCCCCCCCCCCCCCCCCCCCCCAAAAAAAAAAAAAACACCCAACTCATCTCATGAAAAAGCCCAAAACAATGAAAAACCCAAAAAAAATAGACAGCCCGAACAAGGCCCGCCCGGACCACTCCCAAAGAATGGGGTGAACTGAGACCGCCCCACCCTAACCCCTGGGACTGGGCCTAGGCCCGGAACCAAAACCGTACACCAAGCCGGGCCGGTTCCCGGGTCAGGCGGCCGGAACCGGGTTCAAGACTACTGGTTTTCATGTGAATGCAGTTATAAACATTATTATCTGAATGATCATACTATCATTTTGTCCCAAAATCAATATTTTGTTTTCTTTTTAGCATTAAACATATAGCTCATATCATTTAAATTTATTCTACTCATGACTCATCTCTCAAGGCTCAAGCACTTTATTAATGATTATCCTAAAGGACCTAAACTAAAATCAGACAACCAATACGTGACAGAAATTTAGTTATTGTATTCTACTTCTTTATGCATCTGAAAGGAAGTATATTGTATGCTATGTAGTTTAATGAAGAGTGAAGACAACATTATAATCATACTATTACTAGTTCAAACGACTAACCTATATTTATTACTCCATCTGTCCCTAAATTTACTTCCATTTCGCTTTTCGAGAGTCAACTTAAATCACTCTTAAACTCTTACTCTTTGTATCAAAACTATGAAAATTGATTTTTTTTTGCAAGCTTTATAACGGGTTTAATGTAGTTTCTGAATATGTAAATTTTATTTACTAAAAATAATCCGAATTTTCACAGGGATCATTTAACTTTATCGTCGGTCAACCTTCGTAATCCGCAATTGGAACAACATTCAGGGACAGAGGGAGTATTTTCTAATAAACAACTAATCAGAGCACATATTTGCATGCACCCCATATATTTATATTGTGGGCATCTTTTGAGCGACAGATAACCCTGTGAACAACAAAGAATATATTTATCACAAAATTTGCTCTCAGAAGTTGAGGAACACATTACATGACATAAGACAGAAAGTAAAAAAACAAAAAACGCCTTCAACATAAACGGACAACAAAGATGCAGCACTGAGTGATGAGGTATTGAATGTTGATGGCACATTTGACTTCTCCCTATTGGGAAGGCTGGTGTGTTAGCAGAAGAGGATCTCTGAATTTGATGACAAGAAACCTATGTTCCAAAGATATGTCTGTGAATGGGTGTCGAATCCAATGATTTAACCACTTGAATCCATGGTTTGTCTATGACCAACACAGAACTTTTCGAAAGATGTCCAAGAAATAAAACAGGGTCTTTGAACGCACTAAATATAAAATTGTTTCTACCATAACATTGACTCTCTAATTCCGGCATCCCTTTGGATTTCTTCCGTTTCAATTTCCCATTCAGAGGAGTGCCATTCTGTATCTTCCGCAACAGCATCTCCTGACTGTTCGTCAACTTACTAGTATCATCCACTTCAACCGGCATCCCAAAATCAATTACGCACATGGCCCTACAAAACCAATATTTTAAAAAATAGTCCATATAGTCAATTATATTTCACTGATCAGCAGAGATGGAACCCAGTCATGTGCAAACAAATGAGCAATTAATGTAACGGGATAATACTCAATTACAATATCAGGAACTGTGTACTCTGTTATGAAGCAACTATCCAAGAGGAAAGATCTAGGCATGGAGGCTTGGTTTAAAAAAACGCCAAAAAGCCATGAGGCACTGCTAGTAGATATCCATAGGTGCAACCTATACCTAGCCTTTTGCTACTCTCTGCGCTTCTGGGAGGCATTCGCCTCTCTCAGGTTGTCGACTATCTTTTCTGAGAGACGTCTGGCGTTAAACGTTCCATAAATTTTGTTGACTATCTTAGGCTACTATCTATTCTTCTGACCCTCCTTGACTGCATTTAATCTTCTATTTTTATTTTATATTTTTAAATTCATCAAATAGCTGAACTTTAAAATATTTAAATATATAAACATATAAAAATCTTTCATCAATTTTAATATTTAGAATGAATAATGATGACCATCTATGATTAATAATTATCACGATGAACTGTTTAGACTTTTAAAACTATATGAAGTATGTTGTAAAACAACATCATTGAATTTGAGAGTTTTGAATTAGTTATATGAATATTGGCTTGATGGGTAATTAGTTAATTTTTGAAATGCAAGGTTTAGTTTATTAGTTATGACCATACCTTAAGGGGGTGATAGTAATTTCCCTTTTAGTTTTCTTAAATTAGACTTTAGCTTCCAAAATGTTAAAGATTATATGTTTGAAATGGATGTATTTATAATACATAGTGTGCTATATGGAAAATAGTATTATATGTACTAAACTGTATTCCATCAATTTTAAATAGTACTACCTCCGTCCCACTAAGATTGGGACAAGAGAAGGTGGCACGATTATTAAGAAAAGTGGGTTTGTGTGATTGATATTAAATTGATAAAGTAAGAATGATTTAGCTAGGAAGCACGGAAACGGCATTCCTCTTCCAGTTTCCGTCCCGGAAACGTTTCGGAAACGGGAAACGCCCCGAAACGGCAGGAAACGCTGGGGAAACGTTTTTGAGGTATTGGGCTTTTGGGCCGGGTTGGGGAAACGTTTCAGAAACTTTTTTTAATTGGACCTACCCGCTTCTTAATTTTAAAAAATACCTTGGTCAACTTCGGCACTCCCAGTCTAGGCAACATCGAGTGTGTTCAACGACTCAACAGGAAGAAGAAGTCAAGAAACTCGGAAGAAACTGGCAACGCACGCAGAAGAGTATCGGACATCTGCTGGTCTGGGTATTTGGTGAGGCGGTGAGCGTATCTGGTACTCTGCTGAGTGCTGGACGGCTGTGAATTTTGGGTATTTTGGTCATAGTTATTGTTTGAAGTATAAAACATACGGAAGGTTCTTGTGGTGAAGGTGGAGGTGGGTCAGGGATTACGTTTTTGGTGTTTATAATACACCTTTGTGGAATAATAACAAAGTCTTTGTTACAAAGACAAATGTTTGATTTATTTATTTCGTATTTATTGGACATATAAATGTGACCTATATTACTAAAATTTATAATTTTAATTCGACGTTTCCTTGCCGTACCCGTATCTTGATATTTTTAGATTAGAGTTTCCCCGTCCCCGTTTCCGTCCCCGTTTCCGTTTCCGTTTCCGTCCCGGTGCTACTTAGTGATTTAGAGCCACACAAACTTTGCCAAATTTGGTATGGGAAGATCTTAGTGGGATTTCCCGAAAAGGTAAAATTGGAAAATCTTAGCGGGACGGAGGAAGTACTACATATGCTTTCTACAATCAGATTGTCTTGTAAGTTGAGTGGCAAAATCTAGTTGAAGGACTTTGAACTAGCTCTTCCTGAGAGACCTCTGGCGTTAAACGTTCCAGAAATTTTATTGACTATCTTTGGCTACTCTCTATTCTTCCGCTCTTCCTTGACTGCATTTAATCTTCTGTTTTTATTTTATATTTTTAAATTCATCAGATAGCCGAACTTTAAAATATTTAAATATATAAACATATAAAAATCTTCCCTAAACTGTATTCCATCAATTTTAAATAGTACTACATATGCTTTCTACAATCAGATTGTCTTTAAAGTTGAGTGGCAAAATCTAGTTGAAGGACTTTGAACTAGTTTATCCATGCTTTCTACAATTTTAATAAAAAAAAGGTTAAATACAAAAAGTATAATGTGGAAAAATCTACTTTACTAAAATCTTTTTTAATAGGTTAGCATGGAGGAGTCGTTTCAACTTCCCACTCTCCATGCTTTCTACTTATTGTGGCAAAATCTAGTTGAAGGACTAAAAGTGTCAATCTGATAGTACTCAGGGACTAAATGTCGGGAACTTCGAAGTCGGGGACTAAAAGTATCTCTCTCATAATAGTCGAAGGACCAAAAATGAAATATTTGAAAGTCGAGTTCCAATAGTGTCACTGGTAAAATAGTCAAGGTCTATAGTCAAGGTCTGAAAGTGGCATATGCTCTATGTAATAAATAACAGAGGAAGTAAAATACAGATTAATACAATTAATATGATAACAACAGACTGTATTAGGATGTGAAAATAATTTCAAAAGAAACAAACATCATAAAAAGCATTTCCAGTGACATATATACCTTGGACTGTAGACAATAACAGTAGATGAGTTGGCTGATGGAGGGAAAGAGAGACCAATTACTTCTCCAGGAAACTCTTGATAGCTTCTTGGCAGAGAAAATGTATGCTTCATAGACCATTCTCCCAACTGTTTAGCTTCCACATCAAATGCATAAACCTGGTTGGAAGATGTTGACAGTATAAGGACATTGCTATTCCTGGGGGTAAAACCACCAGCTGTTACCGATGATCCATCTAGTCTTGATATAAACCAGTGCTGCCTAATTCACCCAAAGAAAAAAGTCATAAGTTCAGATGTACTTTCATCCACAGTACATAACCAGTTGTTGTACAGGCGTAATGAAAAAGGTTCTTACTGCACAATAAATCAAAGAAATGAAATATAAGATGGAATGTAAAAAAAAAAACTCGGTTATTCACTAACTACATTGGCGTGAAAATCATTTTGTGCTGTGCACATAAAAGGATATAGACAATAATAATAGAATTGAAGCCAGTCCAAATGTGTGGTTGCATATAACTCATTTCTAGTTACCTCTGAATTTCTAGATTGAATATATAAATATCTCCAAAGCAACTAACAGCAGCTAGCCACTGTCCATCATTGCTAGTGAACATTCTGGTAATTGGAGGCTCAGTAGGTGGCAACTCCTCATCATAATCCTTGCTGCAAGGTGTGAACACATGAACCACTTTCATATTTCCAAAATCAACAACCTGCGGCAGTTTAAAGTGAGGACTTCAAAAAGATGTTCAGGTATGACAATAAGTAACTTGCTATCTAAGTTGACATCTCAGGATCATCCACGTTCAATATAGCCATTGAATAAAACCGTCAAACTTAATAAAAGCATCTTAAGTTCTTAACAATAAATCAACACAATTCATTTTGGGAATTACACACTCCCTGCAGTTGGAAGAAAAAACTCATTTTCAAGGTTTTGAATTTCGAAAAGAGTCCTGTTTCATAACACAAAACAAATTTTCAAATAATTGATTAAACAAAACTAAAAGCTCAAAGTATGAATTTTGCAAGTGAAAAATAAGCTAAAGAACAGGATTTAATGACTTCCACGATTGGTATGTTCCAACAATAAAAAAAAATGGTATACATTGACCAAGCATGGCACTGTGTTGTGACAAATGGTACTAAAAAAGTAAAAAATGAAGGGTTTTTTAGACACAAAAGCCAAAACATACAAAACTAAGGAAAAATCAATTGCATTACAAATAAATGAGAAACAAAACTTTATTATTACCCAATTTCAGGCTAGACATGAACTGGTAATAACATTTATTGTACATAAAGAAATTGCATTTCTAATTGCAAAAGAGCAGCGTAACAAAAAATATGATCTGTTACCCAAACGAGTCCTATGGAGCATAATAAACCTTTTTCCCGTGAAAGTAAAAAGCTAATGACTCACATATATCCTTCTGTCACACCCTGCAATCATCAATTGTGAAGAATCGGGACTGAAAACCATGGAATGAGCAAAGGGCAACTCTAAAGGAAGCTGCCTTTTATTCACATTCCAAGAAACTTTCCCACTTCCAGTTCGGTTAAGTTCCAATAGGCTGGGCTTGACATGATCAGAGTATGCCAGAAATTCACCAGAAGGCGAAATTGTACTGCATGTAATCTTCCGAGAGGCCTTGCACTTGATTCGGGCAACCAGATCTGTTTTTGCACCCCCTCCAGAAAGATTAGATGTGCAGTTAGTAGAGACACAGTTTCTCGCACCAACACTGAATATATCTATCCAGTATGAAGCCTGGATCAAGAGCAAAGAAGTAGAGTTGAAGATGGTGTTGGTCACAAGCTGTACAGATGGTCTCTGGGGTGCTGGACAAATGTCATGTGGAGAAAATTTTGTAAACTCCTTAGCAGAATATGCAAAAAGTTTAGTGTCATCACCACCTGATACCAGCATTGGCACCCCTATATGGGCCCACTTGTGGTAACTAAACTCAAGGGGCTTTTTCTCAACTCGAAGCCGCTTCACCTTGTCTTCATACGATGTGTCTGTTAATAATAAGAATGTAAGCAACCGATGTCCATCAAAGGTACATAAAGAAGGGATTCAGAAGAAGCATGATAGTCTATAAATAAATAAATAAAACCTTCACGGCATATGGGAACAGCAATTGTCAAGGCCCTCACGTCATGTGTATGAGCCCTCACATAACCAACATAAACCCAATTCTTCATCACTACAGGAGAAACATTTACTTCATCAGACTCAATTCCATCAGTGGAGAGCTTATAGAGGATAACCTACATTTGAAAAACAATTGAACAGTCAGCAGCGATCACACTTCAAAATATGTACAATCAATTGTACAAATTTAATGGAAGGTGAATGATGGCATCCTAGGTCATGTGGAATGATTTAAGTTAGAGCTAGGAAAGTGTCCTTGGGTATACCTTGCAGGGACATCACAGCTTGCATGTGTTGCAGAAGAAACACATCAGGCACCCTAGTGTTGCGCAACCCACCTAGGCCACCTAATCAGGCACCTTGTATGGCTCGTAAAGCTAAAAGCACCTAATTGGGTGCCTAGTCTGTTTAGCAATGAATTGGTCTAGGGTGCCTACCACCTAATGAGTGCTTAGGTCACCACCTAGGCTGATTTATACAACAGGGGATGAGTTCTGTGGAATTTTGTTACTCATTGGAAGTATATCAATCAGGCAGCGTAGTCTTGCACCCCAGTCCTGTTGTATAAATCACCATACTTATCTTTACTTACTTTTTCATTTCTTTCAACCACATTCATAAACTAAAATACTCAAGGCCCTCATCCCAAAAGCATATCAATTTCCACCAATGAAAAGTTGGAAATACTTATCTAATGCTTGCTTAAAGGATGACAGCTTTTCTGAGATGTTGGTGCATTATATATTTACCTGACCATCTGAGCCAGCAGAAAATACCCTGGTATGGCTAGGAGAGACTGCCAAAGCATTGACATCCCCTTTATGATAAGAATGTGCTTGCAAAAGAGTTCCATGCTGTGTATCCCAGAACTGAACACTCCCATTACTATCACCACTTACAAGGGTACCACACCTGAATATAACTTTGTTGCATAAGAAGCAGCACAGAAAAGCTAGTCCACATCTGAATACCTTGTGCTCTTTCTTGCACCCCATTTTTCACACTCTTGCTCAATAAGTATGGGGAATTAAAGACAATAGTAGCGTAGGATGGAACACAGGCTTACCTTAAAGCAAGTAAAGACCATATGCAAAGTTCAGTTCCATTACCCAAACCTCCAAGACCAACTGTTATCCTATAGATTTCATGACCAAACTTTGCATCCCAACACCTAATCAACCTGCAAAATATGAACTTAGCTGTTATAAACATAAAAGTGCAGCTCTAAAAAGAGCCATGTTTAAGGCTTCCAACATCTCACAATAAATTTTTATAACTACCCGTCACTACTCCCAGAAAATATCCTATTTCCTTCAGTACTCCAAGTGACGCTTAATGTTCTGCCTGCGAAAATGAGAAATAACAGTTACACACTTGGAGTGAAAAACAAACCCTGAAAAATCTAAAGAGAATAAGGGGACAGGTTTCTCACCACTGATCCTTGGCAATGATTTTTTATGTGCCACATCATCTAAAGAGGAAACGCTGTATATTCGTACGCATCCATCATCACACGCTAAGGCTATGTGACTATGTTCATTAACACGGTCTTCATAGTGCTCAACTGAGTCATCATCATCATCATCACCATCATCAACATCACTTCCACTGTCACTGCTCTCGCTATCAAGATCACCATTGTCTGTATGACCTGTGTGGCCATTTTCATAATGCAATGAATCTGTGCTATGAGTAGGTTGTTGGGTAATCCGTGGTTGTGCAGCCATTTGCCATATAGAAACACCAATAGAATCAACAACAACCTGCAGGCAGTGAAAGAAAGCAACATTATCCACAAGAAGCACTTAAACATATGAACTTAATTCAATAATTCAGATTTCAGCAAGCCACTCTTTAATATTAGGGCATCAGAAATGGCTGTAAGAATCAAACAATCCGTGTTCAAGGAGCACATGGCAAAAAAATGAATAATCAAAATATTTTTCGGGTGTGTTTATAATTATCATACAAAGAAAAACCTAACTTTGAAGATGAGCTGTATGCATAGTGAGAAACATTTTTTAGAAGATCTAAAGCATTGTATTATAAACTATTGGTAGCTGAAGAATGGCTATGGCAGTGGGACACGGCTAAAATACAAAAATGAAATGCACATATACAATATTGGCAGAGCTACCAAATGTTTTTGTTAGTGTATATACATGTGTAGATACTTTTAAATTCCAATATATATAATATGTTGGTGTATGAAAAAAAGTACGCTTGTGTGTAAATACATGTAATCAATATGTAAAATGTAGCTACATGAGCTATGGGCCCTAAACATAAAAATATCAAACTTTACGCCCCTGAAAATTTCTAGCTCTGACTAGAATAAAAAATGAAAAACAGAAACAACTAACTAATCTGGAAATTAAGAAGAGCAGTAAAAACGACAACTTTTTCACTCTCCCTAAATCAATCTTCTAACAAAACCGCACCTAAAATGTTGTCTTCACATTTCACTTGAACGTTTCAATATTAAGTTAAAGAGGTGCTATATGAACATGAACACTACCATATCACTACTGCAGTTTGCACCGCTCGTGAGCCCCTAATACGATAGTATTAGGGAAACAGACTACAAAAATGGCTACAGGAGAACGGAAGCTTAAATACAAGTATGACAAACCTTTTGTCTCAAGTCAAATAGATCCCATTCCGAAACAGAACCATCAATACTCGACGAGAATAGCCGACCTGAAGGCAGGCCTCTTGACCCTGGCCGGCACCAAACCAACGATGAAATCCTTGAATTGGGATTTCCATGTATTCTCTATGAAAATAAAACCCCGATACATCAAATTCAAAACGAAGCTATATTTTGTTTACAAAGGAGAAAAAATATGGAGAAAAAAGAGAAAAAAAAACAGCATTAGTACGAGTTGACAGTGCCAGCCAACGGAGCCAGGAGAGACAAGCCAAATTTCAAGAGAACCATCCTCGCGAGCAGCGGCGACCTGAAAGTTGTCGTCGCTGGTGGCTAAGGCGACCACTGGTGATGGATTCCACTCAACAGAGCTGGCCCGATAGAGCTCGGGCATGAGGATCCTGCCCATTTTCCCAACGTGCAGAACGCGGCGGTGAGAATATGAGGGGGAGAGAGCCTAGAAGCGGCTGTTGAAGAAAAGAGAGAGAAAGTAGGGTTTAACGCTATTTGAACCAGATTCACTTGAAAACGGGTAACGGGTAGAAATTGCGCATGGCCCGGATAGTTTAATTACGGAGTACTTATTATTGGGCACCTGTCTAACAATAATATAGGTACTTTAAGTAGGTCATCTTTGGCACACAAAAACCTCTATCTTCTAGCTTCTCTTTTCTTTAAAAAGACCTTAAAAGACTCTAATTGTATGTTTGGCATGACATTTTTTAAGAGCTTTTCAAAAATTAAAAGATCTTTTTTGAGATGCTACCGGGTGTAACATCTGAGAAAAGCTCGTGACTTTTAGTACGGAGTATTAATTAGTCCTAACAGCTTGTATACCAAACCGAACTAAATCAAACAGTCAGCTTTTTACCAAACAGTTATCACCTTTTCTTTTTAAGATCTTTTCAGTCACTAAAAGCTAACAGTTACTAAAAAGCTCACAAAAGTATCTTTTCAGCTAGTTGTTCCAAACATACCCGTACTAGTAGAGTACGTACTACATCCTTCTCCACTTCACGTTCAACCATTGACACGATTTTTTTTATTGACACGATTATTTTAATTATTTAAATAAGGAGTAATCATATAACAACATAATTAGAGTATTTTTTAGAAGTAATTTTGATAAGTATATAACTTAATGAGGTATATACTATCAAAAAAAACTTAATGAGGTATATGAAGAAATTAGCTATTGTGATAAATCGCGGACGGGTAGGATCTTTTTTAGGGTTTGGTGTGGTGATATTCATTCGCCAGTGGTGTTTCCACGCAAGGTTAGTAGCTTACGGAGATCGTAGCGGCTTTCTCAACGCAACAGCTTTCAAGAGCAACGAGGTCACGAGCTTGATCGAATCCAACAGAAATGAAGCAGGGCACCGGACAAGTGTTTTGCCAGTTTAGCTGCAGCACACATCAGGCCATCAAGCATCACAGAGCCAATTTGTTGGAATGGACAGTAATCATCATGAAAAGATCGAGGTTTTAGCCCAATCTTATGGAAGAATGAAGATGGAGGAGGAAGATGAAGCGATTTTAGTGGAAGTAGTGAATTCTGGGGTAAGCGGCGAAAGTTTATTGATATGCACAATCACATCTGAGAAATCGATACGTTTCTCTATTTTCCATGACAATATGGCGTCGGTTTAGAAACCCGTTAAGGGCATTACCATAACAGATCTTGAAACTAAGCGCTACATACTTCAATTTTATCATGAGAGTGACATGCATAAGGTGGCGCAAGAAGGCTCATGGTTATTTGACCAAAATCTCATTGTCCTAAAAAGGTTAGAGGAGGGTGATTTAGCATTGACTGTGCTTCTGAATAAGATAGATCTCTGGTTACATGTTTATGGAATTCCTATAGGATATTTCACCCTAAAAAAATGTTGAAAGCATAGGCAATTTTGTTGGAAAGTTCGTGAGGATTGATGAGCATTATTTTAATATTAAGTGGAACTCATTTATGTGTATTTGTGTCACCATATATAAGAAAAACCGTTGAAAATGAAACTTTTTCTGCAAACGGGAGATGGTACTAGTTTTTGTGTTTCATTCTGATATGAAAAATTGTCTAGCTTCTGTTTTATATGTGGAGTACTCATCCATAAGGAGAACTTTTTCCCCCCGTAAATCGCGAAACAGCTTAAAGGGTAATGCTAGATTATTTGGACTCTGGCTCAGAGATACAAAGGGGAGGGTTCAGAGTGAAGGTAACAAATGGCTAGTTTCATATGAGGGCGAACAGTGGAAGGAACAAGAAGCAAGGGGTTTTGACATTGATTCTGAAGCAGTGCAAGGGGCTAGACAGAGTTGGATGGCAACGGGTCAATCAAAGCCCACAAGAAACAAAACAGAGCAGAAATGAACACGCGTAGCAGGTGAAGGGGATGATGAGGACAGAGCTAATGATATGGAAGTGGAGCAGGGACATCCAAAAAATGGGAAGGGGGCGGGCTACAAGCCAGTGGCCCACCTAACACAAGATTGAGATACTTGCAGGTTCACCAGGAAGAGAACAACTCGAAGACTCCATGTTGTTTTTTAGCACTTGGCTTTATCAGTTTTATTTTCACTTCTCGGTACGTTTTTTTTTTGTGATTTTGTATGGGGACGTGGATATTTACGTTTTTGTGGGGTTAGTTGATAGAAGGGTATAAAGCATGCACGCTTTGGTAGGCGATGTGAGCTCTGAATCTCTCGCATGTTTAGCGTGTAGTCTTGCTCATCACCGGGTAGTTTACTTTAAGTTAAATCAGAGGGTGAGGGCATTTTGGCTATAGATTGTTTCAGGTGAAAACTTGGGTAGTGGGAGGTTTGGATGTTGGGTTGTTGACCTTTTTTTTTATCTTAATATAAGTTTTTTTTTCTTAAAAAACTAGGTATGACGAAAATAGTTTTTGGACCTAAAAACTTGAGTTTCCCAATCTATGACCTAGCTAGTTTTTGGACTTTTGTATGACGGAAAATCCAAAAAAAAATCGTTTATATTTAAATGTTGAATGACAAAAATATCCTTATTTAAAATATGTGAATTTTGCACTAATTTCGTCCAATTAAATTTACTACACTTTATATTGTCGTTACCGCACGACATTACTGCATATTCGATAATAATCACTGCACTTTGTGACAAAATTAAATCTCTTTTCATCCACTTAAGGAATTTATTTATAGTTTTTATTTTTTTATTTTTTTGGATTTAATAAGTTTATTATTTAACGTCTAATTATGTGTATTGCACTACATGGTGGCATTACTGCTCTGCATTACCGCACTACTGATCATAATCACGGCAATACATTCATTCACCATGCCATGTATATAACTTTTGTATTACCATATTCATTGCTCATACTCAATACTTATTGCCATATTCACTATCAATGTTGAATGCCCAAATTTAATGCCCAAAAACCCTAAATTCAACAAACCCTAATCTCAGAAATAGAAAAAGAAGAATGAGATTTGAGGCTCTGGGTGCTTGGTGATGGTACGTCTTACTTGTGCCCTTGCTCTTCGGATCAATCAAGGGAAATAGCCTAGGGGAGATTGATTTCAATCAGCCTAGTCTAGTCATCACTATTCATTCCATCCCTACACAAATTTTTAGATTTGCCCGTCATAAAACAATACTTTGTATTTCATTCAGTCTAGTCTAATCACCACTCATCCCATCGCTAAACCAAAAAAGTTAAAAATATCCAGAATTAAATTGAACCGTTCATTCTTCACCACAAGCTTTAGAGTTGATTGACCGAAACATGCCTTCCAATTTCTACAAAAGATATTGTGTAATAGCCAAGGTTCCTGACGGTGTAAACGGGATTGTTTCCTGGGTGATTGGGTCGACGACTTTGCTTGTAGGTCAGACTTCGGTAGCAAGTGGCGGCGCCGTTGGACGACAGCCGGCAGTTGGGCGTTGACCGGCTGCGTGGATGGGCGGCTGCGGGGGTGGGGGTGGGAGATGCGTAACTAGGATGGGAAATAAGAATAGGAGGTTAGGGTTTTATAGGTACAACCTAAATGGTATAGTTGTCCATGAATATTATGTATGAAATAATTATATAAATATGACCAAAATAAAGATGATTTACAAAAATATGATTCATTACTAGAGTAGTAATTAAATCATAGTAATTCATGTTCAAATTTTGAACTTTAGTTACCACAGCACTACGTTGTAGTAATGAATAGTCATATTTATGTAAATAAGTTTTATTTTAGTAATATTCTCGTAAAAAACCCATTATGTATTTATTTATTACGAATTTAAATTAAATATTACCAATTTTAATATTTTTTTGAGAAAAAAACTTGATAGGTCATAGATTGGGAAACTCAAGGAGTTTTAGTCATACCTAGGCTAATTATCTCAAAAAATAATGAGATAATGATGATAATTATGCTGTTATACATACATTATTTTTTATTATGAGGTCTGTTAATTTATCATCTAAAGTACTAATATATCCATATTTTAATGTATCTATTTCACTAGTACAAAATGTGTATATTGTATCATCCATTTTGTAGCATTATATAAATTGCTACAATATAGTATCTATTGTAAATTTGTAACATTATTGTACCAAAAAATGCTACAATAAAAATGATAACTTGTTATAATACATCTATTAGAGCATCTCCAATGCTACAATGTGCACGGTGCACATGTGGCATGAGATAGACACAAAAAATTGAATTTATGACATTTCTCTCTCATTCATTACACAATTCTATGTGTTTTTGGTAAGTTTTCCTCTGCAATGTCAAGTACAATGTCTACATCTAGACATTGTGCTTGACATTGTGAAGAAAAACTTACCAAAATGATACAAGATCCTTCAAATAAGAAGAGAGATATTCTATTTACTATTTTTAATTGGCTATCTTTCATGTCACGTATGCACCGTTCATGTTTTAGGATTGGAGGTGCTCTTACAACACCAGTAGGATGCAACATGCTAAAAATTCTGCATTTGATATATTGTAACATTTTACACCTATTGCAACATTTTGCATATGCTACAAAAGTTATACTTTGTTGGAGTGTCTATATCAATATACTCTCTTCCTATGTAAAAGTTTGTTACACTTTCCTATTTGAGATGTATTTAAAAGTTTTCTACGATTTCCCGTTTTGGTAAGTTTAATTTTTACTTTAAAATTTTCCAATTATCCCTAAGTTTTTTACTTCTTATCTTCTCTTTCCCACTTCTTCACATTTTCTTCTACTTTTGCTACACTATTCATTACCCCTATTATTCCCCACTTAAATAATGTGTCAACACTTTATGTAGTGATCTTTTAAATACAGAGGGGGTATGAATTAAATGAGTTGAGTTTTTGTATGCTCATTAGGGGTATTAATATACTCTCTTCCTAGATATAACATGATTATTAAGTGCAACGTCTTTTTTACAGTTGAGAAATATTCTTTCAACCTCTTCTTTACATTTTCATTGCCCCGTCTTTCCCTATTGCTCCTTTCTATAAAATACGGGGTTTGCCTTATTA